TACCTAATTTTGTTTTGTTTTACAGTCTAAAGAAAAACAAAGGAATATTTGAAGTTCAATAATTTGTATAAAAATTTATCAATTCATAAAAGCACAAACAATTCAAAGAGTTAATGCGTTTTGATATTTAAAGTTTATTTATGGACATGTCATGGATATTGCAGTTTTATACCTAAGTGAAAATGCCTCTTATTTTTTGACTAGCTTTGAGTAAAAACACCTGTTTTTAGTATTTAAATATTTTTAATTGAGTTTATTAAATATGCATATTGTAGTTTTACACATAAGTAAGAATTCTTACTTTCTGGTTGTGCCTAAACATAAGTACCAATCAAGCTTCTGTCTCAATCTCAATATACTTTCAATCAAAAATAAAAATTAAATTGTTTAGATTAGTAAGTCAAAAAACAGCTCAGTTTTTTTTTTTTTTTAGATGTTTATATATACTTTAAGATTATGAAGTTTGGAAATATATAGATCATAACCTTTTCTGTAATTCTTTTTATAGTAAGCATGTTTACTTTTCAATTTTATTAAAAACGCCGATTTACTCTTATTGACTTATTAATAAATAAATAAAAATATTATTTCTTGGTATAATTTTATAGTTTAGCATCTAATAATATGTGGAAAATTTCAAATTATAAAACAATATATTTAAGGAAACAACGTATGTATTAGCATTTACTTGTTACTAAGGACGTTGCTAGGGGAGCATCATGAGTAAAAATGTTACTAAGTTTTAAATTTTAAACGAGCATAACTTCTAAAATATTCCGATTTGTTTAAAACAACTTTGGGGAATTATTTTTAGCCTAGTTAAGTATCTTTGTTGCAAAAATTAAGTCATTTAGAGATAGTGGGTTATTTTTTTGAATTTTTGTTGTTGTTTTGACACGGAATTACCCGTTAATATTTCGTATTAATAAAATATTCTCAAAATAAATAAACTTTCAATAGGAATATATACTTAACATACTTGAAGATAACAAATAATTAAGAATTAAGAATTGAAAACATAAACAAATTTAAGGAAAAAAATAAAAAGAAAAACGGTTCCGTTATAAATACATATATGCGTTATACAGTTTTAAGATATCTTTAGCACAATTGTTAAAGTTTTTGTTAAAGGTTTTGTTATACAGTTTTAAGATACCTTTAACAAAAGTGTTAAACAACTATTTACAAATTGTTAAATTATAAAATTTATTAATGCAGTGTTAAATATAAAGTTAAAAAAAGAAACAAAAAATTAAAAGAATATAGATATATCATCTAATAAAAAAATGACTTTTTTAAGTTTTTGTTTGAAAGAGTGATAGCTAACTTCTTGAGAAAAGTCAAAATCCTTTAAAACTATTTTATTCTAAAGTAATGCTCCTCGAAATGAAATACAGTATTTTCCAGAATTAGTTTGATAAGCTGATTGACGAATATTATTATCATTTCGTAAAATGTACTTAGTTTTTTCTTTTTTGTTATACAAATTATGAAAAGGTACAGGAGAAATATTGTTTTTACATTTAAACATAAAACATATAACGTTAAAAATATTAAGCTCATATATATTTAAGACTTTCATTTCAATTAATAGAGGCTTGGCATGAGTAAATCGATCCTTAAAATTAATAAGGCTTGCAACATGTTTCTGTTGACGATAAAGAGGTTCCAGTTTACTTTTATTAGTACTACCCCACGCAATGTTCGCATAGTTAATGTGACAATGAATGAGCGAATAATATAGTTTAAGTAATGCATGTTTATTTAAAAAACACCTTGCTTTGTACAAAATTCCTATGCTTTTTGATATTTTACTACTCAAATTTTTTATGTGACTTTTCCATGACAAATTTTCATCAATATAAATACCAAGAAAGTTTGTAACTGTTACTTTTTTTAGAAGTATATTATCAATAAAAAGCAGTGGCATTTCATTTGGTATAAGATTTTTTTTGTGATTTGGATGGAAAAAAATCCATTTCGTTTTATCAATATAAAGAGACAGTTTATTTGTCTTAAACCAATCAGAAATTCTTACTAGTTCATTATTGATATTCTGAAATAACAATGTAATATCATTATGAGATAAAAATAAGTTTGTGTCATCTGCAAACATAATCGTCATTAAATTTGAGGCTTTATGGAGATTGTTGATGTAAATAAGAAAAAGAAGAGGCCCTAATATTGATCCCTGAGGAACTCCACAGGTTATATCAAGCAAGTTTACTGGTGAAACTACATCAACGTATACAAATTGCTTTCGATTATTTAAATAGCTTTTTAACCAATTTAAAACACTTCCGTTTATACCGTAAATCTTTAGTTTATTTAAAAGAATATTGTGGTCTATTGTATCGAAAGCTTTAGCTAAGTCAATAAAAACCCCAACTGTATATTGGGAGTTTTCAAAAGAGTTAGTAATACTTCTTGTAAACTGGAGAACTGCGAGTTATTTTGGAGTCTGTCGAGTTATTTTTTTTGAATCCATATTGATTGCTATATATTAAATTGTTTACAGATAAATGATTATAAATTCTGTTGTTATTATTATTATTATTATTATTCTGTTGTTATTATTATTATTATTATTATTATTAGTCACTCATAATACACTCTAATTTAGAGTGAGTTTGTTGTAAATCTGACTAATCTTATTTAAACAGATTACCTCTAAGGTTGATGAGTAAAAATTTTAGGACAAATTTAATAAAAAAAATCGTATCAACCTGCCCCTATCACAGGGTATATTGACATTAATGAAAAACCTACACAAAAATAATGTTGCTGTCGATAACTTAAAGAGAAGTAATATTATTATTATTACATTGTTAATATTATTACAGTGTGTTCTAAAGCTGGTAGAGTCACCAGCAAGTGTGAAGTGCACACTTTGACAGCTCATCAAATATCAATGAAAGTTTTCACAAATGTGTGCACTTATGTATTGTATCATAAATATCAATAGTATCATAAGTTTTTTAAAATTCCATTAAAAATTTACGAAGACATCTTCTTCTAGCAAAGTATTCCATAATGGTACGATTCCATTTGTTAAGAAGTTATGTCTGGTTGCGTTGCTAATGGTTTTACTGTTGTATCTAAACTTGTGACCTCTGGTGTTTAAATTTTTAAATAATGGTGGATTAACAATATCAACTTTTTCTATTTTTTTTGTACATCTGTTTTTTTTTGTACATTTTTTACAACTTTTTTTACATTTTTGTACATTTTTTGCAACTTTTTTTTTTTTTTTTTGTACATCTGTAACATATCCTCTGAATTTTGTTTGCTCCAGGGTTGTAGAATTAAGTTTGACTGGGTCATCTTTATATTATAAATGATCTAAAAAACATAGCGTTTTATGCTAAGTTTTTTAGATTAGAAACTATTTTAGTTGCTCGTTTATGAACTTTTTCTAAATTACAAATCTCTCCTTTTATATTTAAAGACCATTCTGTTGCAAAAAAATCAACATGCTGTCGTGTAAATACTTTGTATAATAACTTTATTAAATTAACGTTTTGATGTGTCGAAGTTTTTTTTATTTGTTCTAAAATTGAAAAATATTGTAAAAAGACAAATTTATTTTAAAAATCAAAAAGAGAAACTGTCCTATCTGTACATTTCTTACTTACGGATTTAGCAACTTTAATACAGTATCAGAAACATGAACAAAACTTTTACAATTCTTATCAGGAAAAACAAAAGCTCCAGTTGGCTTGCGTTTAAAAAAGAAAACCTGGAAGTCATTCCACCTTTCTCATACTTGAATAGACAATAAAACGCTTAAAAGGTAATTTTCTGCGTTAATTACTTTTACTACAACATAATCGTCTTTCAAACGATTCTTTACCATAGTTAGAGCACTATGGACAAGATTAAGTATAGTTGGAAAATTCTAATCAAATTCTTCAGATTCTTTCAATTAAACTTATTTGTAAGAATTTGATTAGTCTGAATTCATAATTAAAAGTTTAGAAGTTTTGCAATTGATTTTGCTAATTTTGTACTAAAACACTTTAATAATATTAGGTTAATAATAAGTAATAATAATAATAGGTTATTTAAAGAAACAGGAGAAATTTGGAGATATTGCACATCCTATTGATACTTGTATATATAGATAGTGCACATCCTATTGAAACTATTGATATCTATCCCAAATTCTGTTCTGAAGTGTATATTATAAATCATAAACTAACTAATTTTTCAAAAATTTATTGTCAACCGATTAATTTACCACCTCTAGTATCTTTGGAAGACTTTGGATTTTAGAAAATTGCTTATTTTTAAAAAGTTACCTATGATCATAATTATAATAAACCTGATAATTACAATCATGATATTAAACTGGTTGATTATAACCATTTTAATCATGATTATATTAAACTCGATGATTATAATACAATTAAACAATGTTAATGCAATTCTGATTGATTATAAAACAATATGATTCTGAATGATTTGAATTTTGGTCCGATCAAAAAACATCAAAAGGCAGGATTTATTTTATATATAAGAATAAATATATATATATATTTATATTAAAATATTATAATTCTGTCCACCCTCTCAACCACGATATCTTCGGTATGTGAAAAATACAAAAACTAAAATCAACTTTTTTCTTGTAAAAAATATAAAATACAAATATTACAAAATTATGTATATCTTTTAAATATTATTTTTCTATTTTATTTTCTAGAGGAAAAAATTATTTAAAAACAAAAAAGCTATAAAAAAAAAAAAAAAAAAAAAAAAAAAACAATTTAAAATTTTTTTCTCAATATAGTCAACAGTATTAATAGTATTAACTTATTTTTTATACTTTATAAACTTTTTATGTTATTTAAATATATTTATGAAACATTACTGTAAACCATTTTGAATGAAAATTAACAATAGTAAATCCGAAAAATAAAAAACTTATTTAACGTTTAGGTAATATTTATGCTCAGTATTTTAAGGTCTATAGTGGAATAACTAAAACAATTGAAAAGTATAAAGAAAATTTTTATTTCAAAATTATATACTATATGTACAACCTTTTTCCATTATGAATTCGTCCATAATAAAACATTTTCGTGTAACTTTTCTACATCAATTTGATGAAAATATTGAAAAGAAAAATAACTTTAAACGTACACTAGGTTATAAAAACTACTATGTTATTTTAACCAAAAAACTATCGGCAACTTGACCAGAAGCAGTTGACGGATTTTAGGAAAAAAATATATGTATTTTAAAAATACATTAAATAAAGTCTACAACTGGTCTTCTAACTCTTACATGAGGTGTTATCGAGTATGGAGTTGCAGGCTTTTTATTATCTGTCGATATAGAACGGCGAATTGTTCGAATTACAGGCGTCAATGACCATCTGTCATTTGTTTTTTTCGAAAGATCTGTATCTGATTTATTTATTGGCGAATATTTTGCAGAAAGTGGCGCCGAGGAACTTTCACTGGACAGAGAGCTTGTACCACTCAAGTCCATAACTGTTTCACTTGCGACTAATGCAATGTTACATCCAACTCTAGCCTAAAATTTATACAAAACCATACGCAAAAACGTACCAAAATTATTGTAATAATTATCATTAATGATAGTTTCAACTAATCACTAACAGCATGTTATAAACAATTATAAGGATATTATATTAAAGAATATAAGTAGTGAACAAAAATACAATTATTAAAAAAACAAGTCGTAAACAAAAATACAATTTGTTAAAAAATCAACTATAAATAATCAAAGTAAAACTAACTAGAAAATTAAATATTGTTAATACAATGTATAAAAAAAAAAAAAATTAAGAATACAAAAAATCAACCTACAATAGAACTTTTGGAACTCGTAAGGTCTGGAGTTTTTGGTAGCTGGCGCCGAGGCCTACACGTACAACGTTTAAAAAATTTCAATATTTTATATATATATATATATATATATATATATATATATATATATATTAGGGTGCATCAAACGCCCCATACTTTCAAAATTTGATTTGTCCCTATTCTTAAAACCATCTGTTGGTTCTCACGAGACACTCTGTTAAATTTTTTCAAAATTGAATGAGATTTAGGAGGGCCACATTAAGTCTGAAACTTGCAACGAGATCCAACAGAACAAATAAAAATTTCAAAAATAGTTATGATTTTTTGTTAAAAATACCTTGAAAAAAAATTTCGACCAAAAACCATGAAAAAATGGCTTTTTTTAATTTTTTGCTAAATAATAATTTTTATGCAACAAAACTAATAATAATAAATATTATGTAAAATTTTTATTGTTTTTGAAATTTTTTAAATAAAATTTTGCTTCTTTTGAGACCCAACATGACATACATTTGAAAAACTTTTTTCCTTCTGTTTAGGGTCTCGTCGCAAGTTTCAGATTTGAGGTGGCCCCCCTAAATCTCATTCAATTTTGAAAAAATTTAACAGAGTGTCTTGTGAGTACCAATAGAAAGCTTATATATATGAATATATGAATATATATATATATGAATATATATATATATATATATATATATATATATATATATATATATATATATATATATATATATATATATATATATATATGATCTTTTTATGTTTTTAATATAATAAATTATTAAAATGATCATAAATAATAGAAAAATGATCATAAATAATAATATATACATATTAACGAAGAAAAAACAACTTTTTATATTGTACTTTAAGTTTTATGCCTATACGGCAATCATCAGCCATTGAATACAAAATCAAAAACGAAAAACCCGCTATAAATTACAAAATAATAATAATAATAATAATAATAATAATAATAATAATAATAATAATAATAATATATATATATATATATATACATATATATATATATATATATATATATATATATATATAATATATATATATATATATATATATATATACATATATATATATATATATACATATATATATATATATATATATATATATATATATATATATATATATATATATATATATATATATATATATATATATATATATATATATATTACCGGAAAATTTTTACCGGAAAACTCTTTATTTTTATTTTTCTTTAAAAAAAATTTTTTTTCTAAGGAAAACTTACCCTCTCCAATTTAAAATTTACCGGTAAATTTTGAATCAAATTTTGCCGTAAAATTTACATCACTACTGATGATACCCCTTCAATCTAATATGTAATAAATTAATACTAAATTTAAAAAATTTATAGGGGTTGCTCAAGACCCTTAAATATCAGAAGGGTTCCTAATATTTTTGAAAAAATAAAGTTCTTTAAAATATCATGTTGGTTCTCAAAAGAAGTGCAATCTTAAAAAAATTTTAAAAATAATAATCATTTTATATAAATATTACTAATTTCAATTTTATGGCTTAAAAACTCTTCTTAAAAAATCACTATTTAACAAAAAATAAAAAATAACATATTTTCATAGTTTTTTTAAAATAAACTCTTTGAATTAGTGTTCCCATAAATTTTTTTAATTATTTTTTTACTTCTTTTGAGACCCAACATGATATGCTATTAAAGAACTTTTTTTTTCAAAATATTAGGGACCCGTCTGATGTTTAAGGGTCTTAAGCGACCCTTAAAAATTTACTTTAATTAATTTATTATTTAAAAATTAATTTATTACATTGAACACATTTAGGGGGTATCATTTTCAAAAAATGTTGTTTTATGACACACCCTAATATGTATATATATATATATATATATATATATATATATATATATATATATATATATATATATATATATATATATATATATATATATATATATATATATATATATATATATGATACATACATACATATATACATACATACATACATATGTGACATTTTCACACATGAGACATTTTCAAAAAATGTTGTTTTATGACACACCCTAATATGTATATATATATATATATATATATATATATATATATATATATATATATATATATATATATATATATATATATATATATATATATATATATATATATGTATGTATGTATGTATGTATGTATGTATGTATGTATGTATGTATGTATGTATGTATGTATGTATGTATGTATGTATGTATGTATGTATGTATGTATGTATGTATGTATGTATGTATGTATGTATGTATACATTTATATAATTATATATAGTATATATGTTACTGTTATCCACAATACCAGGAATTAGCTAAATGCTAATATTTATAATAAAATATATCTAGTTGAATATAATATTATATCTACTTTATTTTTTAGGCACTCTTTTAAGTATACAATATTATACATTATAATGTAAAGATATTTCTTTATTCACATATATACACTTGTCTTTTCATAGACCTTTTCAGTATTAAACAAAGGAAATAGTCACAGGGAGCCAAATCAAGTGAATATGGTGGCTGGGGCATTATTTGATGTTAATTTTGGCCCTCCCAAACAACAGTGTGAGTGAGCAGGTGCATATTGTTATCATTCAATTCATGGCTTTAGCGCCATTATCGTGATGCAAAAACCATGAATTGTTTTTCCACAAACCTGGACTTTTTTTTGTATTGCTTGGCTCAAATGAGGCATAAATTTAAAGTAATACTCATTATAGACTGTACGTTATAGACTGAAACTAGTGATAAGAACTCCTGATGCACTACTATGCCACAGTAATTAACAGTAAACAACACTTTGATTTTTGATTGAACATTCTTTTCTTACTCTTTGGTACTTTCATTGGAATGATTGGGCTTTGGTTTCGACATCATAACCATATATCCATGATTCATCACCAGTTATGATCTTTTTGAACAAATCATTGATAACATTTAACAGCTCCTGAGTGATACTTGTGTAATGGTTCTTTTGGTCGATATTTAACAGTTTTTAAACAGATTTTGCTGACACACATCTTATGCCCAAAATATCTGAAAAAATTGCATGGCATAAACCAACTGATATGCAAACATACCCAGCAACATCTCTAACAGTAGTTTGATAATTACTCAAAACAATTTTTTACCACTTCAACATTTACATCTGTTGTTGATGCGCTAGAAAACTTAGAGAGAGGTCTTTTCGGCCATTTTTGGAAAAATCTGTACCATTTATAAATATTTTTTTTTATAGCAGATTCACAGTATCCCACTGTCAACATTTTAACATTTGGTGCACTTAATTCCATTTTTTACACAAAGTTAGATGGGAATTCTTTCATCCATTCTTTTAAATAATAAAAAGAAGCCAAGCACACCAAAACATGTGTAATATTTTAATCTATTAATAAAAAACCTAATAAGCTATACTCTTGAAACTGTAAACAAACATTTGGTGCATGTCTATAAATATAACAAAACTCAAAATTAAATGTGTATTAATTGCAATACACATTTGATTGTTCAAAAGTATGTTCAAAATTATGTTCATCAAAAAGTGTCACTTTATTTTTAGAATAGGCTTTGTATTTATTATGCACTTCCAGCCATCATATAAAAAAATTGTATGCTTTTGGGTGCTGTTTCCTAATAATTTGCCTACTTATATAGATTTTCAGTCTACAGATGTTGACTATGTCATTTTGAATTTCAAGAAAAACTAACTAATGTCTATAAAATTCATTTTAACATCTGTAAAAAATGTTTGAAAAATTTTCATTGACCATTATTAAACACTATTAAAACATAATTAAAAATTTTTTTAAATTACTTTAAATACCTTAAATATTAGGTCTGCTTAACAAAATCAAGTATTAAATCAAGTGTTTACTATTACATCTTTTTAAAGAAAAAAAAAACAGTTTTCTTTCAGTTTTTATATCAAATTTAAACAATAATTTTCCTATAAAACCAACATCTTCCTTTTACTTAAGAAGAAAAATCAAGCAAGATTGTCATGATGCCAAGATTACCTTGGCTATCAACTTTGACAACCTTGCCTTGATTGATATGGCCCTGGTGTGCCGCATCAAACATATGCTTTTTTTTGCTTTGGGTTTGCAAGTCCAATTTTCATCGCTTGTAATAATTTGATGCAAAATCAAAATCTTTCTATGCAAAATGCAACATTGTCTTTTATAAAAAGAAAATTGAGTGCCACATTTTCATTCGTGGCACTCAATTTTCTTGCTTTTTAATGAATCCTGCTGCTTTTAATTGCATGAAAATGGCTTGTGCTATTCCCAATAGTTTTTCAAGTTATTTTTGCGTTTGAAAACAATTTTTGTTGAGTAATGCTTATAACTCCTTCAAACTTTTGTGACTTACTTAAACGTTCTTTGTGACTTACTTAAACATTCTTTGTCTTCATTAAAATTACAACTTATAAAGCATTAAACTAAAATGCGCAAGCAAAAGAGTATGAGCTCAACATAAACCTCCACAAAAATACAGTGACATTCTGCAGCACTTTTCTTCATAAAAAACTAATGAAGCAGAATTTCCTGCAAAAACGAAAATTTTGGTTTGAAATTTTCCATTTTTAATGAGATTAAAAACTATGTTAATGTGAAAAAAACAAAAAAACACTAAAGTCAAAAGTGTATAACCATTTTTACATTCTATATAATAAAATTTATTTATTAAAATTTATTTTTAATATTAGAACAATTAAAAGTTCTTTTGTTTAAAAAAATAAACAAAGAAAATATTTATTTCTGTTAATGTGCAACTATGAGTAGTTCAGACTTTTGTTATTTTTTCAAAAAATTTTTCTGAAATTTAAAAAAACTTTACTTTTAATTCTAATGATTTAAAGTAAATAAAAAAATTTTTTATTTACTTTTTACCGGTTTTTACACAGTAACAACTTTTAAAGAGTTTTAAAGAACTGAAAGCAAAGAAAAATTCCTAATATTTTATTTGAATGATTAAAAAAATGTTTTCACATGCTTTGCAGCATAACTTTCAATATACATGATTTTAAAAATCCATGTTTTTACATGTTTTGTGCACCCATATAAATGTATGATTTATATGGGTGTATTATATGGGTTACACCCATATAAATGTATGATTTATATGGGTGTAACCATATAAATGTATGATTTATATGTAGGAATCATGATCATGATTCTTATTTGTCATGATTTCTATTTGTTTGTCCCCTCTGGTTGATCTTACTTTACCTGTCAAACCCCTGCAAGGAAAAACCAGTCAATTTCGGTGATTAATAATAAATGACATAAACTATTGTGAGGTAAAGATAAATATTTGATAGAAAATCTAAAAGTTTTTCAAAATTTTTAATAAGCGTTAATAATTTATAAATTGTAATAATTTTTAAAATGTACAGTAAAATTGAAAAATAATGGCCAGATGAGGCCTGTATTGCTGACCTCACCTGGCATATTTCTCACGCCTTTTTTCCAAAGACGAAGTCCTCCTTGACACCCTTACATGTGGTTTTTGAGTAGAACGACTTAGCTTTGGCTGTGGTAATAATCTAGCTGCATCCCTAACCTCATGATGTTGATGTGATGTAACACCACTAATGCTGGATTTTGATCGTGCCAAACTAGAGTTGGTCACAGCAGGAACAGGTCTTCGAATTTCTTTTGATTTTACTTGAGAAAGATCAAACTTAGATGGAAGCACAGTAGCATTATCTCGTACACGTTCATTCTTTGTTGCTTAAAAAAAAAAATACTAATAAATAAAAAATTTACAAATAAAGACACTTTTTATTAACTCATGATATAAAATTATTAGAACCGAGAGACTTTCAAAATACAATAATTTCAATACAAGTAATAAAAACCCTGTCAAAAAATTATGCATTTTTATTTATATAATATTATACGTAAAAATTTGTTTAATAACTTAAAATATTTTTGGGTATCCAGAAAACTAAGTAGAAAAAAAAAATTGCCTACAGTTAAAGCAAAAATTAACACAATGAAGAAAATATTGTTGATTCAAGTTTTTTAACTATAGTGTCATATACAAGATGTTTAAAAAAATAAAAAGTATGTTTTAGTTTTTATAAAAGGTTTTTTAAAAATAATTTTTTTAAAAAACCTTTTATGTTTTTTTATTTACTTTTATATTTTTTTTATGTTATATTTTTTAAAAAAACTTTAAAAACATTTATTAAAATATTATATTTAATAAACTTTAAAAAACTGATAATAAATATCTGGCATACAACTAGAATCAATTTTAATAAGATATTTAAAAATGAGTATTTAGAAAATGACTGTTATTTAAATTCAGACTAAGTAATTCAAATGGTCCAGTTTTTTGGAAAAAAAACCATGTCTAACAAAAACTACTTTTTATTTGTTAATTTTGCAGATATATAAGTCAAATATAAGAAATTTACAGCTCATCATATATTTCTCAGGATGGTCTGTATTAGCATTCTATTGAAAATTTTAATTAAGCTTCTGAGATTACTAACTATTAGAACAGCTTCCTTGTCACACCAGGAACAACTGTGTTTCACTATGAATTTATAAATATTTTTATTTATAAAATAATTATTTAAAAAAAGCTATATCACTTATTATTTCTTTTTTATTATCAGAATTACAGCTGAAGTTTGGCAGCTAACACTGCTAGATTTTTTTAAATATCATTAAAGTATATTAGTAAAAGAGTAAAATTTATTTTAGAGTAAGTTATTACAGAACCATAAACACAACCCATCACATCACCAATGTAGCAGCATTTCTTTACAGTAGAAGGCTATAAAATAGTTGATGTATACATTAAAGCCCTTCTGGTAGCAGGCTATTTTAGTGTGACATCAGAGATATTATCTAAACATGCATTTATAGTTGTATACATACTCCTAATATATATATATACATATACATATATATATATATATATATATATATATATATATATATATATATATATATATATATATATATATATATATATATATATATATATATATATATATATATCAAGCCTGATGTATATATATATATATATATATATATATATATATATATATATATATATATATATATATATATATATATATATATATATCAAGCTGATGGATAAAGAATGAGGGCTTGGTCAATATAATCAGAAATAACATCAAGAAGTCACAAACATTAAAGTAACATTAAAATAACATTAAAGTCACAAACAACAACGATATTGGCTGAAGGATAAAGAGAAAGGGCTTGGTCAATTTAATCAGAAATAACATCAAAAAGAGTTCTTGAGATAAAGGAGAGTGATATAGAACAAAGAGAAAAGTGATAAAGTGAAGAGATGCGAAATAAAAGCACATAAAAGAATTGTCTGTTAAAAGGTATGAAGAATTCAAACCTAATTTCCTGACAAATGGGTGAAATTTTACAAATGTAAATGCCCAGGCAAAGCATGTGACTATTGGAGTCTTTACGAATTAAAGGAAGACCATCAACACTAAGATCACAAGATAAGACAGCAGAACAAAGAGCAAAGTTACAAAGAGCAAGTAGGTCTGGTGAACTCTGCAAGAGATAAGACTCAACAGAAGAAAAGTTACTTTGAAGACCACGAATATTAGTGAAAGATAGATTTAGAGAACTTGGTGATGATGATGGTTTAGCTGCACCCTCATTAGGAGATAATAGAATGAGTTGCCTAGTCATAAAAACAGAGACACATTCAAAACCCGTGCAATGAGTCAAAAAAATCATACATTCAACATCCTAAACTGGAAATTAATGTATTGCCAGCCTAATAGATTAATGAGGGCAAAGTTAGTCAACAGATAGAATCTGTTTACCCATTAAGTTTTTGCCTAGGAGACCTGCTACAAGACAGTAGCCAGATGCATTTAACATCTGCCAAAGATGAGTATTTTAATCAAAACACCATCTATAGTCTTTACTCAACCTAGCGTTATAACCTAAATTATAACCTAGCTAATTTAAAGGAGCTTAGTCCACCAAACAGCTCCCAATTCTGGTAGAAAAAAATTGGGAAATTGGCAAAAAATATTTGTGTAAGATATGCGAGACTTTTAATTCAGAACATGATTTACTGAAGACATGGTCTTCAGTAAATCGTGAAGTAAATCAGTAAAACATAAGTAAGAAAATGACAACACCAGTTACGCAGAAGTTAATAGATGCCATCACCAGTAATGTATGATTATTTTTTAGAAATAAATTTTTTTTTTCTATTTATTTTCTTAACTTTAAATTAAATTAAAGAAATTTGTAAAAAAAAAAACAGTTATTTTGAATATTTTTAAAAAGATTTTCATTTCTTATTTTTTCCGATCACATGCTTTATATGTATACTCTTTGCATTCATGCTATAACATGTATATTCTTTACTACTTTAGCCAGTCACAACGTACCCATGATGCATTTTATCAATAAGCGTAAGCTAAAAAATTTATTGAATTAAAGACTTTAAAAGTATTTAGAACAAAAATATGATGAAACTATATGTATTATATGAGGAACCCGATCTGCAAAACGCGCACAAAAATAAAAATTTTGAGTTAATTTTATTTCCACGTCCTATATACTGAAATCTATCATCTATTTAAATATTAGACTAATTTAAAATTTTAATTTCTTTCTTTGTGACAATGGAAGTGTTGTAAATTATACTTATCTGTAATAACTAAATCTATTTTTTTTTTCAGGTTTATCATGCTGATATTCAAGGTATTCAAGCATAAAAAATACTTTGTTTGAATCTAAATTGAGCAATTATTAGTGTTATATATGTTGGGTTGTTTTTTAATAATACATATGCTAAATGTTGTATACGAAATTCAAAAGAACTTGTATTTATTTCTTTATTTATTTTTTTCATGTTATTCACCTTCCCAAGGCAGAGAGAGAAACTACAGTTGAGGAGGCTACTTTTTTTGTGATTACAACCCTCCATCTCAACTCTTTAATTCCGAAACACTAACTTTGACAAACAAGGCTGCTGCACAGAAACAAGTTAGATATGATATTACCAGGGACGTGGTGGGGAAGTAAGCACTTTACCACTTTACCACTTCACCACTACTAAATATTTGTTTTCTGTTTATATGCTCATTTAAATAATCATACTCATACAAATCACACATGTAGAAGATATGTATCTAATGTAAAGAAAAATAATACAGGGTTCCCACTATTAAAACTAAGGCTAAAATTAAGGATTTTAAGGAGATTTAAGGAGATATTTTCCTAATATTTAAGGAGATTTGGTCGCGAACAACATTTTTTTTGAAAGCAAAAGTAAGGATAATTAAGGAGAAAACAATTACATTAAAAACAAAATCTTACTTTTTTCAATAAATTTTAAATATAAACAGAGAAATTATTATTACTTTATATATATATATATATATATATATATATATATATATATATATATATATATATATATATATATATATATATATATATATATATATATATATATATATATATATATATATATATATATATATATATATATATAATAACAAAAATAGGTTTGAAAACCATCAAAAGTCTATATATTATCTTCTTTATTAACAAGTATAACCCATTCACTTTAAAAATTTTTTCTAGATTAATAAAAAAATAAACAAGGAGAAATTAAGGAAAGCAGCCAAAACTTTTTAACTTTTTTTTTTTAACTTTTTTTTAAGGTTATTTAAGGACATTTAAGGAGGTTTTTATTTTTTAAGGATATTTAAGGTTTTTAAGGAGGTGTGGGAACCCTGTAATAGAGTATTTTCTTTTGTCAGCTTGAAAAATTTGTGAGCAAATATATAATGGTCACTTGTGCTTTAGTCAGCTGTGTACAAAATTACTATTAAAACATGTTGCTGTCTGACAATGGCGCATACAATAGAGTTAAGAACGCCAAGGAATAAGGCTGTTGCCAAGTACAAAATCACTGCAGATTTATAAATTTTTGAAACTAATAAATATCTGGCTCAATATGGTTCAGTAAAGCTTTAAGGATCACAATGTGATCCTTAAGGTTTTATATTTATATATAGTTACCAAGTTTATATTTATAATTTTTCTTGATTTTAAAGATCTAATTTTCTGAATTAATTTGATCTTGAGGTTCAAATTAAATCTTCCAAAACCAACTACACATAACCAACTACTTCTTAATCTTTTTACTGTTTGCCTCAAATAATTGCTTAAAATTTTTGTGAAACAACAAAAAAAATCTTCCCTTCAAACATAACACAATTAAAAAAAAAAGGGCTTTTTTTATTTTGATTGACTAAAACATAATAACTTACTTTGTTCAGGTTGGACAGGAAGTAAATGACGTCTTGGAGTAGCAGCCACTTGATTTGACATTGACTTAAATGTAGGTGCAGATATTTCAATAACTTCATATGCTTTTTTTGATAAACGCGGGCTAATATAAAAAAATTAATAAGTTGCAATTTTATTTTTCTTAAACTATGGTTAATAAATTGCTTCTTATATTTTTATTTTATTTGTTATTTATTTATTGCCTCTCAAGAAACTTTTTTTATTGTTTATTGCCTCTTAAGAATCTTAAACTTAATATCAAAATCCACTATTCATAAAGTTTTTGAAATTTAGGTTTTTAATGTTTTTTTGGAAAATATTTAGTCTAGAAATCTATTAAACAACTGTCTGGTAAGTCTTTGAAAAAATTTTGTTTGGTAAATCTTTAAAAAGAATTTACTCAACAACATTCACATAAGTTGTTAGAGTTAGAGCCTAAAACTATTTAAAAAATGAAAAAAGTCAATGTCTGATGTAGAAAGGATTAATTAAAGGTACAAGCAACTTAATTTGTGGTTGCTTGAAGCCTTGTTGAAAGTGAACAAATTGACTTTGAATAAGGCTACAAGCAACAATTAAATTGGGAGAAAGCTGGAAGTGAAGCATGCTTGAACAGCAACCGTGGTAGTGTTATTAGAAAAGAAAAAAAAAATCAAAGTTGCACAATAGAACATTAAGAATATAAAAATTTAAATTAAAGTTAAAAAAATGAATATAGTAAAACAAATAATCTATTATATATTAATATTGAACTTAATGATGCTGCTGTCATTACTCATTTGTGCACGTTTGACACAAAACTCATGGCAGCCATTACACCCAAGTTAATAATGAGTTACAGCACTTTTTTTAAAAATGAAAGTGTATGCTATAAATGAAACTTAAATTTTAAATTATGAAAACTTCAAATTATGTAATGTTAAAACATATAACAAACAAATAGTGTATCTTTGTATATGTTATGTATAAAATATGACTTGATAGGACTAAATAGGACTTGAAAAATGTTTTATTTTGTATTTTAGAAAATTTGAAAAGATAAAAAAAAAGATTAAATGTGCAAGCAAACGATTTGAACCTTAACAATGCACTTTTTCTGAAAACATCAAACATCGGGAGAAATTTGTTGCGCATAAGTCATGATAGAGATATTTATAGTATTAATGTGCTTGAGTTATTAGTTGTCTGCGCGTTTAACACACATTTAAGAGACAACTTTATTTCTTGTAGGAAAAAAGTCTTAACATTCAAACTTTTATTAATTAACAGGGGGAGGATCTTAATAAGCTGTGGATGTTCTGAATTAAAAAATTAATAAAAACTAATTAAAAAGTTAAATTAATTATTTCTAAAACTAAGAAAATTCTTAACAATTGAGAAAATTCTTAAGAATTAGGAAATTAAAAAATTTAGTAATTTAAATTAAGTCTTAATAAAGAACTTAAATTAATAAGCTCAACCCCATTTTTATTTATAGAATTTTACAATTTTACAATAAGAAACTTATATACCATCAAATTTATTTGATTAATTTGAGAGCATATTTATTTTGATTAATTAATTAGACTATTTTGAGAGTATGTTTATTTTTTCAATCTCATTTTAGTTGCATGTCCAATCATTAAATAGTATAAAACTAATAGAGTGTGCGATTTACAATTTATTCTTTCCAATTTTTATTTTTTATAGTTTTATAGTTCAAAATTTTTATAGTTCAAAACTTTTTTATTTAAGTTTTTTTTATTTCAATAAAAAGTTATAAAGTATTGAACATCATTAACTCAAAACAAAGATTTTAAAGGTTCATATTTTCTACCACTAAAAATTATTAAAATAAAACAACTATATAAAGTATTTTATGGGTCATTGTAAAGTCCATTATTCTACATATTTTTAAGTCTATTTCCCCACGTTTTCAAATTTTTTATACAGATTGTATATAATCAACACACCTCAATCTAAGTCTTCTCCATTTGAATTTAATGCCATTGCACGAAAAAGCACTGGCAAGATGATGATTTTTATGTTAGCCTACGCGATTAAAAAAATTCAGTTTTTTTTTCTTTTTAAATTAAAATAAAAATAGCAAAAAGAATGCTTTGAATAAATACTAGATAAAATAATTAAAAAAAAAAAACTGATAAAAAAAAAAACAACATTTTATAAAAGTTGAGCAAATAAACAAAAACATTTTGTTGCAATTTAAAACAAAAACGCTTTAATTTTTTTGGCAAGTCTTTTTTATGCGCTTGCTAAAGTTTTTGCGGACATTTGGGCGAACATCAAAAGACTTCAGTGCAAAAGAGCTGGCTAAATGGAGAAAATTGATATATATATATATATATATATATATATATATATATATATATATATATATATATATATATATATATAGTTATTTTTATACTGTTTTCCATAAAATATTGAAGTAAGAAATAAGTATAGAAATGGTCAATGTGGAATAGAATTACCAAGAACAGTATTTTATGGGTCCGGAGAGCTAGTTTATTATAGTTATTGCAATAGCTATGTTTCTTTTTTTTTATTAACACAAGCTTTTAAGGGGGTATTCATGAGTACATCAAATAAAAAAAACTTTAACTTATTATATGAAGATTTTAATATTAGCAAGCTCTTCATTTAACATTATCAAAGATGTAGTTGCTGAGTATGTACTCCCACATCTGTCTACCCTTATTAGGTAGTTAGATAAATAGAGTAAAAGGGGATAAAACAGAACACTTATATTTATAATTAATTTTTTTTTAAGTAAAATGATTTTTAAAATATTAATATAGAAAAATAAGCTCTATCTGAATGTCAAAAAAAAAAAAAAAAATGATTAAAAGTTTTTTAGTAAAATGAATTTATTTAAAAAAAAAAAAAGATAAGTTTTACCAGACAATTCGGTTAAAACTGAACATGTTAAAGTATTGGTAACTTGACTGAATTAATTATTATAAAAATATTTAATTTACAAATAGAAAACAAGTAATTTACAAATAGAAAACAAGTAATTTACAAAAATACAGGATTAATTTACAAAATGATGTGACTAATTTACAAAAAAAAAGAGTTTTGACATTTTTTTGTACAATAAAATTCTTCACCAGTTTTATATTTTTTGATAAATATGTTTGACAAACCTAGCTTTTGCTATTTGAATTTCACATGTAAACCATTTACAATTTTAATTTTCTTTATTTTCATTCTTTATTTTTGGCATATTATGCATTTTTTTGCTGTCCAGAATTGTTTATAGTTTGCTTTTTTGAAGGTAGCAACTCAACTTCATTATCAACATTAAAGTCAAATTTGCGCTTTATTTTGTTTTTGTTTTAATTTTTCAGCATGATATAACTCTGCTAGAATTTTAGCTTCACATTTCACACTTTTTATGGCAACATTTTTTTTTTGTATTGACGTTTTGGACTCCAAAATGTTCTTTTAAAGATATTTCAAGTCCAATTACTGCTTGATTCAATACATGTATTGCTGGTGTCATTGGACAAATTGGTGTTTCAATATGTTGCAAATGATGTTGTGTTGATTGAGACAGTGTGTTAAGATTCTTATTAGATTGAGTCCTTGAGATAGTGTGTTAAGATTCTTATTAGATTGAGTTCTTGAGATAGTGTGTTAAGATTCTTATTAGATTGAGTTCTTGAGATAGTGTGTTAAGATTCTTATTAGATTGAGTTCTTGAGATAGTGTGTTAAGATTCTTATTAGATTTAAATTATTTAAGATTAGTTTAAATTGAGCTTGT